TCCATAATGGTATTATACATGGAGCCTCTGGGTTATGGTTTTTAGATATGGTTTTTTAATATAGTACGGTCTTAATATAGTACGGCACCCTTATTAAAAGGACGTGTGAACCAGAAGTAAGGATTTAGGGTTTAGGGGTTTAGGGGCTTCGGATTTAGGGATTTAGGGTTTATTGATTTAGGGTTTAGGGATTCAGGGTTTAGGGATTTAGGGTTTAGGGTTTGGGGGTTTAGGGGCCTTAATAATTGGAATAGGGTTTGGGGTCTATTATCCTATCCCTCGGAGTGTGTGCAAAGGCTGGACAGATGAACCAGCCCTGAGGGTTCTCTAGATTAGGGTCCCTTTTAGGGTCCTTTGTATAAGGGTGCCGTACTATATTGGGGATTCAAAAAGGGACCCTAACATAGAGAACTACCCAAACAGGGGCCTTAATAAGAATAAGTAGAATAGGGTGTTGGGTTGTTCCTTGTTCTCATTATACTAGAATGTACTCCAAACCCTAGTCTAATTATCAAGCGACCCTACGTTACAGGGTTCAGGGTTACTTACCGGAGGGATGGCTGCAACTGAGGAGCCCTGCTTCCTATGTGCGATTGCGAGGTAAATACGACATGCAAAGACAGCAGCCAGGTGTAATATAGGGGCCTAGATAATTACCTATACTATTTTGGGGGGGCTCCTTATTATAAATATAATATAATGGGCCCCAAAACCCTTTTCTCATTATTAAGGCCCCTACATTAGGTGTCGCGCGTCTTTCCTGTTGACGGATCGCACGGATCCTACAACTTAAACGGGTTGATGTAGGGGCCTTCTAATTAGAATAGGGTTTGGGGGTACTCTCTATATAATAATTAGTAAAAAGGAGCCCCCCAAACCCTATCCTAATTATTAATAAGGCCCCTACATCCGTTCTTCTTTGCACCCAAAACGGAGAAGAACTTCATCCATCGCACCGCATCTGCCCTTGCCCCCGCAGCATATAGGATAAGATAGTATATTCTCGCTTCTCTTCTGCCGAATATCATACAAAGCAGTAAAGTCTAAGCCCTAAGCCGTAAACCCTAAACCCTAAATCTTTACTATAGCATATCAGGTGCCTCGTCTAGTCGTTTTGACCCTGAGGCTGTCTATTGCCTGGCTGCATTCCTACCCAGAGACTCCAAAGCCCCTTAATTCAGGAATATACCTTAAACTATCATAGGAATCCTAATATGATTTAAGGTTTCAGGAATATACCTTAAACTATAATGGGAATCCTAATATGATTTAAGGTATATTCCTTAGTTAAGGGGTTTTGCGCCTTAAACTATCATAGGAATCCTAATCTGATTTAAGGTATATTGCTTAGTAAAGGGGTTTTGTACCTTAAACTATAATAGGAATCCTAATATGATTTAGGGTATATTCCTTAGTAAAGGGGTTTTGTACCTTAAACTATAATAGGATTCCTAATATGATTGAAATTTAAGGTATATTGGTTAGTTAAGGGGTTTTGCGCCTTAAACTATAATAGGAATCCTAATATGATTTAAGGCATATTCCTTAGTTAAGGGGTTTGGTCCCTTAAACTATAATAGGAATCCTAATATGATTTAAGGCATATTCCTTAGTTAAGGGGTTTGGGAGTCTCTGGGTTCCTACCTTTAGGGTTTAGGGTTTAGGGTTTAGGGTTTAGGGTTTTGGGATTAGCAAGTCGCGGTGACTTGTCTCCGGTCTCGTCTGCCTGCACGAACGAATGTAGGAGCATTTTCCTGAATAATTACCAATACTATTTTGGAGGTTCCTTATTATCAGTATAGTATAATAGGCCCCAAAACCCTATTCGAATTATTAAGGCCCCTACATTATCCTTCGACGACGAAAGCAGCTCTGGACGGTGAAAATCCGGCAGTTTTTTGCCCGAGTCATGGAGAATGTAGATTGAGTTTGGAATCCAAGCTGATGTCGTCCTTGGTCTACGCTCTCGTGGGCAAGACGGGGCATGGTAAGAGCTCAACAGCCAACTCGTTGTCAGCGTCAGAGCATTTTCTGGCCCACGACAGCCTTGAGTCGGTCACAAGCAGTGTCAGAGCTTTGGAGCAATATAGGGGGCTTGCTGGGGTTCCTTTGTGTTCTGATTACTAGAGTAATTACTGTAGCAAGTTAGTAAGTAGTCACCAAAACCCCACCCCAATTGTCAAGGCTCTTTTGAGTACACCACCGTGACTGGACAGACGCTTTTATGTTTGGACCTGCCTGGAGCCGTTGACCCGAAGCTCACTTTGCCTGAGCTGGCAGCCATCTCACCCTCCGGCCTGGATGCTCTGGCGTGCATCATCCGCAAGGGCCGCCTGACAGACGAGGCGATGGCTTCCATATCCCAGATGGAGATGCTGTTTGGTCAGGAGGTTTGGGCTCATGCTGTTATTGTCTTTACGCACTGCATTTGCGACTTGGACAAGCTGATGTCTGATCTGGCCAAGCTTGGCGAGGACCATGTCCTGAACAAGGTGATTAAAAAGTCTAACAACCGAGTCGCCAAGATTGACAACCTGACCCGGGATGCCGAGAAGTTGAAAACAGATGCTTGGCGTTCTTTTGCTTGGCTCTTAGGGCTTTAACTTTTTGGGTTCTATATGAACCATAATAAGGGAGCTAAAAGTTTAACTTTTAGGAGGGGTTCAGAAGTCAGCCAAGGATGTAGATTATATCCATCAGCTTCTCAGCCAAGTTTCTACGGAGACTCGGAAGAAGTATGAAATTGAGCTCGCGTTCCCGCGAGCTCAGGAGGCCAGGCTAGACGCTCAGATCGAGGCTGCCTGGAGACAGAAAGACGCGGAACTCGAAGATTTGAGGAGCCGGTTCCTGCAGCGGCATGTATCTCATGAGGATTTTGAGAAAAAGGCCCAAGAGCTCAACGAATATCTTGAGCTCTTGAAGCAGCTTCGTCGTGACAGGGAGTTGGAGCAGGCGCAGAAGTCGTGCGAAGGATGGGAGCGAGTAAAGCAGTTTCTTAGATAGCCAATAGGAGATCTTTAGGCTTTTTGGGGCCTAGATAGCCAATAGGAGAACTTTAAGCTTTTTTGGCCTTATCTATTAGGTCTATCCTGAAAAGTTTGAACTTTTTTAGGCCTGGTTGTTGAAGAAGAGAGGTTTGCCTGCTATACTGGCATGGCTACAGTTGGCATTGGTGTTGCAGCGGCAGCAGCACCATACCTTGCACCCACTGCTTTCTGCGGTGTTGCAGGCTACGCGTTCGGAAAACACGCGGAGTACTCCACCGCAAAAGCCCGGGCAGATCATTCTAGGCATGAAGCACCTTAGATAGCCAATAGGAGAACTTTAAGCTTTTTGGCCTTATGAATTTGATCAGTCTATCCTAAAAAGTTTGAACTTT